GGGGGGGGGGGGGGGTTTGCGGTAAATATGTCATATTACCAGCCCTTTTCTTTCCTGAATGAACACAGTGAGCAATCTATACCGATCATTCCTGTGTCCATACATCACATTGTCTAACTGTATTTATTATGTTGCAGTTTGTTAATGAAAAGGAAGCCTCAGAGTGCTTCCCGTTTCATTCACTGTCCAAGGCAGCTGAGGTTGCAGAGAAAAGGACTGATAAATCTATATCCCCAGTCCCTTTCTCTGTCTCAAATGTCAGACATTTGGGGTCTGTTTAGAAATAAAAAATAAAAATAAAATTCTAAAAAAAAAGTAAAACAGTTCAAAACTCTAAAAAAGAATTAAAAAAATGTTAAGCACTTTTTAAAATGTGCTGTGCTTTCTGAAGAGCAGTCAGCATTTAGATCACTTTTCAGACAGTATTTGACAGGCGGCGAGGAGGTATATTGTCTCCTCACTGCCTGCTTTAACCCTGCACAAGAGCACCATACATGATTTCAGGGAGAATACAGAGCAGGGCTATTCATTTCAATAGGTCTTGTTCGATGGGATTATAATTTCTGCCAAGGCTGCGAAACACAGCATTGCGACCATGGCATTTTAGTGAAGATATCATTTGATATTTTTGCAGGGTGGGGGGGGGCGCTGTCAAGTAGGCTGTACAGTGCCCCATGATTTCTAACAGCAGTCCTGAATACCTATGCATCAGACTAAAAAGTGGGACAACTGAGGCTGCAGGGGGCAGAGGGATTGGGTTCAAAAAGAGGGACATCCCTTCCAAATGAGGGACAGTTCGGAGGATTGCAGAATGTCAATGTGCATCACAAAACATATAAAACTAAAGCTGGCCACAGAAGGACATTTTTTTTTCATCATCCACCCAGTTTATCATAAAAAGAACAACCAATTCCCCCATCCACACATTCAAGGTGAATGGGGGAATTCCCCCACTGCACTATTGTATTCTGGCAGGTGGGACTTCCCTCCTGCCAGAATACATTGATCAGCATTACAGCCGATTGACTGCAGGTGCTGATGAGCAAAATTATACACACAGTCCCATTTGGGAAGAATGTCAGGACCACGAAAGGAAATGTTGACGGGGATAAGGGCCTCTTCCCCACAACCCTGGCTGGTGGTTGTGGGGGTCTGCAGGCAGTGGGCTTATCGGAATCTGGAAGCCCCCTTTAACACCGTCATCAACCAGGGCATGCTGGGTCAATGATGTCACAAGGAGGTGGGGCCACATGTGTGATGTCACTGGGTGGCCATGCCCCTTACATATTTAAGAACTGTCAAGCCAGCTCAGAGGCAGACAGCTGGGAGCCACTGTCGGGAGTGGTGCCTTTTTTTTTTAATTCTTTGTTCGGGTTGGTGGCGGGCATCGTGATTGATGTTGGATCTATTGCGGGGAAATTCTTTTAGTTTTTTCATTTAATAAAGGACTTGTCTTTTTTCACACTACACTTTTTGTTTTTTTTTTGTGAATGAGTAGCGGGACCATGTACCCCATACTCATTCACATGGTGGGGCGGGATCCAGATTCTGAAAAGCCCCCTGCCCTCAGACCCCCACAACCACCGGCCTGCCCCCCCAATGCACCCCCCCATGTTGAGGGCATGTGGCCTGGTGTGGTTAAGGAGGGGGGGGCGCTCGCTCATTTTCTGCCTGCCAGGCTGCATGCTCAGATAAGGATCTGGTATGGATTTTGGGGGGACCCCATTTTCTTTTTATTTTGGTGTGGGAGTTCCCCTCAAAATCCATACCAGACACGAAGGGCTTGGTATGGATGGAAGGGGGGACCCCATGCCATTTTATAAATTATTTTTTTAATTGCCAGCAATTCTTTTTTTTTCATTCATCTGTCATTGGGGAACCCCACTGACAGATGAAACATTTAACACATGGTTCAGGTAAAAGGTATGCACGGCTTTAATTCAACAAAGACAGTTGGTTCCCCCAAAAGGTGGCTCGAGTCTCAGAAGCAAAATGGCCCAACCTTGAAGGAAACAGCTTACAAAAAGAGCCAAAAGGAAACCGCTTACGGTGCAGTAAATTTTATTAAAATATAAAGAAGCATCCCTTAGGAAGAGCCTACGTGCTGACGTTATGCCCCCGCGTCCATACAATGGTCTGGCGGCCATCTTTGTAAGTGGATTACATTTGTTTTTATGCTCCACGTGGATTCTTTTTTATAGTTTAATAAAATTTACTGCACCATAAGCGGTTTCCTTTTGGCTCTTTTTTTGTGAGCCGTTTCCTTCAAGGTTGGGCCATTTTATTTTCGAGAATCGAGCCACCTTCTGGGGGAACCAACAGTCTTTGTTGAATTAAAGCTGTGCATACCTTTTACCTGTACCGGGCAGTGGATAAGGTTAACCTGCTGGAGGAGTTTTTCTATTTTGAATGTGCATTCATTACATGTTTTTGGTGAGTGCATTAGGAGCAAGAATTGTCACGGATTCACTTATCACTTGATGTCAGGTTTATTTACAATTTTTGGACACTATACATAAGAGATTGATTGTTCAAATTATTTTGTTAATTATGCACTAATTATTTGCTCACGCAAGTCACCCATTGTTTTTTAATTTTTCATGTCACCCATGTTATTCACTATAGCGCTGCACTTTCTTTTTATTACATGTTTGTGAGGATAAAAGTGGGTTGTCTTTTTTTGTGCTAGCAGCTGAGCAGCTAACAATGATAACATGCCCCTTCCTATAGTTTTTATATTCAATGAACACAATAGCACCACTCTTATTCACGGGCTTGATGACAATAAGTGTCCTTTGGGATTAAACAGGCCATAGACGTGGGGAAAATCGTCCGTTTTTTTTTTTTAAATCATAAATCGGCAGGTTTAGTCCCTTCTACGGCCGTCAATTAATATAATAGCGGTGTCCCTGCATAGAGACCCGCTATTATATTTGACAGAAGAAATAGATTATGCAGAAGAAGAAGAAGAGAAACAACATTGTATCTATTTGTACTTGAATAGAAACATCTGTATCCGAAATGCATACAAATAGATACAATGTTGCAACTTTTTTTCTTCTCCGTCTTCTGCAAAATCTATTTCATCTTCTCCTCTTTTCTTCTATTCTTCTTCTTGATATTCTATTTCTTCTTCTCCTGCAAAATCTATTTCTTCTATTTCTTCTTTTTCTTCATAGTCAATTTATTGTCAAAGCGGCCAGAAGAACGGCCAATTTGACCATAAATTACCACGAAAATCGGCCGATCTAACAAATCGTCCCAGGATTTTCCAGCTTGGATGATTTTCAAAATCTCTTAAAAGTAAGAAAAACGGCGACATTTTTCCCCACTAACGGTACGAATATCGGCCAATTTTTTTTTTATCGGCCCATAATTCAGTAAGAAAATCGGAAATCTATGGTCTCCTTAACATTCCTCAGGACTAAAATGAGTGTATCTCCTTATGGGCATGCCAGAGAGAACATCATGTTTCAGAGTGTGTATGTAGCAATCAATGGATTGGTACTGTCCAGGGGGCATGAATTTGCTTTTAAGCTTGAAAGGCATAGTTCGTCCTTGTGTATGAAAGAACTGTTTGATTATCAATGTCCTCTCAAACTTGAGCATTTCTATTTCAAAGTTGAAGTCATTAAATCTCGATACAGGACAAAATGACAGACCATTAGACAAGAGACAGGACTCACTCTTTGTGATGTGTCTGGATGATAGATTAACTACTGGACTCCTCTGCCTGTACGTTGGCGGTTGCTGCTTGTTTTGATATCTGCGACCTCTTGTTACCCCTCCTGGTTCTTCGCCATCTCTGACCCTTTGGAAAAGGGGTGTGCTACTTTCAGTAACAAGGGCTATGGAGCGACTTTGCTGTCTGTAGAAGGATTGTCGGTTAGACGCTCGCTCTCAGATGAAATGTGGGGGCTTCCTTTTGTTGGCTTCTGGGGTAGGGGTCGAGTACATAATGTCCTGGGCCTAGAGGTCTCAGTTAACCATGGATAAACTCTGCCTTCTTGGTAATCCTGGTTTACCTGTTTAAATTTGTCTCTTTTAGACTGCTTCTCTCTTATGGTGTATGTGGCGATCTCTATGTCAATCTCCTACAAAGCAGAGGTCTGATTTTCTATATCTAGTGTCGGTAATTCCAACACACATGCCTGATGAAGGGGTCTTGTGAGACTCCAAAACGTTGCCTTGTAACTATGTGATCGTTCATTAAAACTTTTGAACCCATATTGGTGATCCCCGGTGTGCTGGTGACATTCTCCCTTCTCTTTTTAGAAAGAGACGCAATGCCTTTGCATATAATTCTTGTCCCTAAAAGGGCTTTAGAAGCTATGTTTTGCTGCTATGCAAATTGCATTCAACGTGTTGTAATATCGCTATTGCTATGAAATCAATCTGTTCTTCTGCACATAGAACACTCCAGAACTGCGCTCCCACTCAGTTCAGTCTGGTTAGTTGATGTATGTTGTTACTTTGCTAGACAGAAGTGTTTGCATAATAGGATTAGCAAGACAAGGATAGGCAGTTATCATTTCATGCCTTAGGCCATTCACATTGCCCAACAGAGCTGATTTCACAATTTTAACTATTCGCAAGACTTTCTTTTTTTTGTTGCATGTGAATGGCTTTCTTTTATCAGAATTGTAACTTAAATCTGTCCTTGAAAGATGTTGATGCTGCAGGATATGCAGCTGCTACATGAGCAGTACATCAAGATGTAGATAGTGTGGGAACTCGCTTCAAAGTGGTAGAGCTTTTAACCGCACACAGCTACTCGCTTTTTTTTTTTAAGGCCTTTTTTAGCCCACTTTTATTTAAATGACAGTTCAATAACAGAAGTTTCCCCACACAGGGGTATCCACCATCACACAAAACAACGATTCAGCCTCCTGCTTATACTCAGCTTGATGTCTGTCTCCTGCAGACTTCTTCAAGACATGGCTCTTGCACACCACTGGCCACTAGCACACAGCTAGTCTCTAGCAGCCCCTTGCTGCTTTTGACTTCCACCTCTCCTAGGTGAAGCCCACCTGACTCCTATCTGCCGGGGTGGAGCCCAGAACCCTGGTCCTGAATCTATGAAAAGGCCCACACACACCTGTGCAATCAGTCTCCTGGCCATTCCCAAAACCTGGTCCCAGGATTGGAGATTTCATCCCTCCCAGATCTCTTTGAAATCTCCAGGCTCCAGATCCCAAAACAGACCTTACAAACAAATGGAGGAAAGTGAAAAGCCACTTTCCTCCGTATCAAACACTTACCCTGGAGCCCCTCAACCTGCCTTGTTGAGAATCCAGGGTGACAGATTGCCACACTGTCACAATAGGCATACGTTATCTTGCTCTTTGCATTTATTACACAAAGAGTGGGAGAGGTATATTTTATTCTCAACTTAGGGTTTGACAACAGTATAACCCTCATATCCACTAAGTCTCTGGGCTGATCATGTGTTGTGTATGTATATTCTTGATGAGTTAAATAGAACACATTGTGGGTGGTATGTAAGGTGGTCTCATGTCCCAGAGTGAGTGACGTAGCACATTTGGACCACCATAGCGCTTGATGCTAGTGCTCTGAGACACGCAGGCAATGCCTTGGACCTGTACTGGAAACCGATTTTTGAGAAAAAAGCAACAGGGCGGAGTTTTCCTCCATGCTCCTGGGCCAGGACCCCTGCCATAGTTTTACAATTTTCCCTAGCATACAGATGAAACATTTGATTATATGCGGGCAGACCAAGACCAGGGGCTATTACCATAGCATTTTTCAGATACACAAAAGCATTGCACATATCATCTGACCATTTCACAAGATCTGACATTTCTGAACCTGTGGCTTGTCTCAAAATGTTGTCATAGTAGGAACAGTCAGGTATCCATTGGCGGCAGTAACCAATCATACCAAGAAAGGTGAGCATGTCTTTCTTGGTCAATGGGCGGGGCAGACCCATAAGAGCCGCAGCTCTTTTGTGGCTGACTTTCCTTTCACCTTTTGTGAGAACAAAACCAAGGTATTCAACAGTTTTCTGACACACCATTGTAGCTTTTTCTTAGACACTTTATGACCACATTCACATAACCAGTTCATGAGATCTACACTATCCCCTTGGCTGGCTGCTCCGATTAACACTACAGAGAAGCAAATCATCTGCGTATGAACCAATACTGAACCATGGCAAGGAGTCCATGGCTTTAAGGTAGCCTGGAGGACAACAGAGTAGACCACAGGCGAATCTACATACCCTTGCGGTAATTTACACCAAGTAAGGGTCTTTCTCCTGTAATGAAACGCAAAAATTGGGGGCGTGTCTCCTTGGCAACAGGGATTGAAAAAAATGCATTTGTCAGATCAATCACTGTGAAAAACTCAGCATCAGCTGGGATGGAGGAAAAGAGTGTTGGTACATCAGGGCAACTATTGGGGCAATGGGAATCACAAGATCATTAATGGCCCTCAGGTCCTGCACAAATCTGTAAGAGCCGTCCGGCTTCTTAACTGGATTTATTGGGCTGTTGTATGGTGAAATCACCTCTTCAAGGACTCCTTCCTTGAGAAAGTGTTCCACCATGGGCGCTATTCCTTCCTCCTTTTCTGACTTTGACAACAGGGTATTGTTTGTGAAACACAGGTTGAGCCCATGGCTTCAGTGTGGCCTTATATGGAGTGCAGGAAATGAATCGAGCCCGCAACATCAAGGCACTTTTTGCCCAAACTTTGTCATTATAATTAGTTCCAGCAGGAAGAAATGAGGGGTCTTCTTTAGTAATCATTGTCATGGGCAGGGGAGCCCTGATTGGCATTTTGGGGGCAGAATGAGCCACTATACCACCTCTCCTTGTGGATTTCAAGTTGATGTTCAACTCTCCCATGAGGTCACTCTCCCTAACAAATTAATCTGGACAATTGGGTATGATTCTGAGAATGAGTGATCTAGCAGAGTGATTCCACTGTATGGGGTCAAAAATTGAAGAGGCGGTGTTTTATATAAGTCTTCAAGGTCAGTATCCCATTCCGTATTCCCATGGAAGGTTCAGCATTCATTCAACACCTCTCCCTTAATAGCCTGTAATGAAAGTCCTCACTCAGACTCGATCACCGACATCGTCACCCGCCACGCCTGCGTCCTCCTCCCATGAGTCCAACAAGAATGGGGTTAATTTGCCCTGTATATGCCCCCCCAAGCACCGACTACAAGGGGTTGTTCCTTATAAGAGTGAGGAGGACAAGCGGGGGAATGCTGGGATACCACTTCTGGGCACCTTCATTTATTTTTGTGATTGTGTCTGCCAAGAGATAGGAAACCTCACATTCTGCTGTGGGGATGGTCCCATTGTGGTTGGCTGGGGAGTGGGAGGGGCTATGCTGGGGCCGTGGTCCTGAGTTTCATATGGACACTTGATTTCTCCAATGATTCCTCAGCCCCACAGTTAAAACACTACCCGTTGTCCCGTGCCCCTATTATTCCTCCGATCTCTTGGGGGGGGAGACCCTAAACCGGCCTCTGCCTCGGTTATTGAAAACCCCCCTTCTATTGTACGGTGGGATTGTTGTGGGGAAAGGGATCTTCCTGAAAAATGAGTGGCCCCCGCCTTGGGTATCTCTAGACATCCGCAGCATCTTTCTCAGTCAATTTCAATTGAAATTGTTCTCTGGTACAAGTGGGCCATTCAGAATCATCTGTTTTACAGTTTAACATGACACTGGGTTTTAGATTGGACAGGGGAAAGTCTGAATCAGTAGACTATGCATGGTGTCTTGCAATGTCAGTCCTGCCTACTTGTGTCCATTGTCTCATTAAATCTTTTCCAAAAATCTAACACAGTTTCTCCCTGACTTTTGCTTGCAGGCTACTGCGGTAGGAAGGGAGGATCTAGATTGGAAAGCAGCTCTTTCCATTCTCTTCTACTGAGACCTCTCTCCACATATTGTCCCTACCATCTTCTGTGTTTAATTTATAATTTGTGGCAGTAATGTTGTCGCTGCTTCTAGGATGGATATGGTCCCAACATAACCCCAATTCCAGGGGGGGAAGTTTGTCCCAATATTCCATCGAGGATAAGGCGCATATCCTCTTGTGTGTAATTTCTACCTTTACATGCTTTCTTCAAATAGCTCACAGTAGCCGTTGAAAGAAAACAGTGGGTCTTGGACAATGTTTGACAATCCTATTTATGTCTTCTATCTCAATGGGTTTATTTAATAGATTGTCTCCTATTGTCATGAAGGGCATCTGTGTTGTGTATTGGAATCAATACCATATTGGGTATTATGGCGTGTGTGTGATGGACTTAGCATGTCACACTATACCTAGACTATTAGCTGCTCTGAACAGCAGAGAGCCTGAAAACTAGCGGATTCATCAACAATGAGTCATCTGCTTCAGTAGTTGAAGAAAACAGCTATTCCCCCTGTCGCTCCCTGTGTGGTAGGACTTTTGAACCACACCCCGTGGGAGGGCGCGGGAAGTTTGAACTGTACTAGGCTGTGTGTGGTAGAAATGTGAACAGCACTAGGTATTTGAGGGGTCTGTGGAAGTGTTGGTGCTAACATGGAGGTGGTGCTTGACACGGCTTGGCAGTGGGGGTTGTTGGACTGCATAATGTCCCGGCTAAAAAATCAATATCTTCTTCAGTAAGAGATGGATAAAGTTATTGTGGGCTGTGGGACAGATGGGACATATGGGGGAGGGAATGGCATGAGAGGGTGTGTGGGTCTGTCTATTTTCTGACTCTCTAAATGCATGTATTTTAGTGGCATCTACATTTCTAGCTTTGGCTTTATTTTGTTTCCCAGTTTGTCTATGAAACCAGAGAGGGGCAAATTCTAACAATTTTGTCCACCTTTGGTCCATGTATTTCTGATCCCACACAGGATCTCCCGCAGTCATACCATGGGAAAGCCTGTTTATCCCCCAGACAGAGACCCCTAATCATATCCATATGAAAAATACATTGCTCCCATCACAGGGGGAACGGGTCAACACTTCCCATGAATTCACTCCAGTCTGCTAATTTATCCACCCAGGGGTTAACTAGATAGTGACAATCTGTCCCACAGAGTACGGGCTACATAATCTTTACATGTCTCTACCAACATTTGGGGGAGGGAGTTTATTCCTTACTTTGACCACATTCCCATTTTTACACTTACAAAGGTCTGTGTTACAAATCTGTCCTATAGGCTGTCCCCAAAAAACACAGGGGTCAACTTCCAAATGACAATTTACTTTATAAAAATGTCTGGACTTAAGATATTTATTGGGTCTTTCTCTAGTGGTTGACCAAAAGTGGAGATTATAACCTGGATATACAATACTTCTAATAATATCCTGACTCTGACTAACTCCCACTTTTCTAACAATAAGCCTACAACACAATTTGAAAAACAAGACATTTACATAGGCACCCAACTCCGTGTCACCATGCTATCACAACTTCTCTAGGTCATCAGCCAATAAGGCCTAGCTAAAGGGGTATGGTTGTTGGTTGCGTCTTACAACAACGGAAGTTGACAATACCTTCAGTGACCTCTGGCCCATACACTTACCAACTGGGCACTTGTGTCACACAAACAAATTATCTTATACTTCTATGCGATAGGAAGAAAAGCAAAAAGAGTTGCAGGACAGAATTGATCAGCCCCGGACTTTTCCTGGTTTCTTCTCAGAGAAACTCCTTTTCAGCCCCTTCTCATAAGAGACCTGTGCAGTTCCCAAAACTGCTTATGCCTGGTCTTTTCCAAAAGACCTTGTGCTTCCCACAGCACTTTGCGCCTGGCCACTAGCGTCTTTAGACGCGAAGCCCGGTGCTACTAAGGGCATGAGATTATATTAATCAGAGCCCTTCCGGCAAGACAGGACTAAATTGACAGAATGACAAAAAATCTTACCTACCGAAAAGGATGATTATCTCATCCCGGACACGAGCCCCCAATTGAAAGGAATGGCTCCTCTCGTTCCTTCCTGTAGCTACCGACTCCCGTCAGTCCCCCTGGCTCTGAGTCAATGTCTGTTACAGGCCCTGGAGTCCCTTTGAGTTACAGGAAATTGC